ACGTTAAACGCGAGATTTACTTCCTCACCGGCGTATAGTGCGTGCTGAAGTGCATGTACTGAAGCAGCCTTGCGTCATGGCGTTCTTTCATTCGCGAAGCCCCCTAATTTCGCCGCGGTGTTTGGACGCACAGAAAGTATGTGACAAAAACAAAGATCTTCTAATCTTTGTTTGCCTGCTCATATCGCGCATCTATACTCTGTTTTATCTGGACGACAGATGTCTCATTCATATGACTTCAACGTATAAGCATATGCACATGTGTGCGTGCGTGTGGCTGTTAGTGTGTGTGGGGGGGGGGAGGGGGTTTAGAGAGCGCATATTTGATTTGAAGATTGATAGATAAGACTCGCAAGATATCGCTTACCGCCGCAACGACGAAGGCGACAATCAGTGTCTGCGCGCTTGGCGCGAGCAACATTTAATCTTGTGTACGGCACGCCTGCTATTGTAAAATGGTGTCAATGTAGCTATTTTGACGTTACAATGTCTCTGTATATATTGTTTTTTAAATTGTTTTACGGTGCTCTGAGTTTCTCTGATCGCTACACGTACCATGTAATTCGTAGTTCAGTCTCCCACACCATCACTCATATTAAGTCCTGGTCTGGGCTTACTGAGTACTTCATAAAGTGCTGGTCCGAAAGTGCCGAGCACTCGATAATGTGCTCTCCGGGTGTGTTGAGCACTTTATAATAGAGTTTTAGCCCAGGTGCGCTGAGCAAGTCTTGGTCCTGCTGTGCTGAGCGCTTTGTAGAGTGCTGGTCCAGAAGTGCTGAGCACTCTAGTGCTGGTTCGAGTGTGCTGAGCACTTTACAAAAATGCTGCTCTTTGTGTCTATATGTGTTGGTCCACGGTCGTGCTGAGCACTTTAACAAAGTATACCGGTCCGGCTGTGCTGAGCGCTGGTCTAGGCACGCTGAAACGCACCGTGGCGATTAATGTTACGACAAACTAGCCGTCCAGGAAACGTAGTGGATGGAGCCCCCAATAACGTTCTTTGAGAGAGAAGGAGAGAGAGAGAGACGACACGTGGTGCGCGTGGCAGGTCGGTTCGACGCGAAGCCACTTGTTGCGCCCTGAGCGTCCGCGGCTGTCGCCTGAATCGTTCGCGCAGATGCTGCTTTCGCAGCACATACCACTCTCCCCCCCCCCCCCCTCTTGTTTTTATGGTTCGGCGCCGTTGTTTATTCTGCCGCGCTCGCTTTGTGTACACATGTATCTCTGCCCGGACCCCATCCACGTGTCGTATCCTGCGACGTCCCCTCCCCGGATCTTCGCCGTTCACTTTTTTTCCTCTCCGCAGTGTGAGGCTTTCGCTAATCCGACGACGTCTGGCATGGCGCGGACGTGCGCCGCCGATGCCGTTGACTTCTTACACGTCGTGGGCGTTTTGTTTTGCACCTGTGAGTGTGTGTGTCTGTGCGTGCCTTACGTGGGCACGTTTGTGCGACGGTGAGTGGATTCAGCGAGGTCGGCGGGAATTCCGTTGAGACGTCCGTCCTCCGTGTGAGTGAATGATCGAGGGACGAGCAGTGGTGGCCGCGACGGCGGTTGCTTCCCCAACAGCCGAAGCGGTGAAGGGAAATGCTTCGTGATATCTCTTAGAGGTGAAGCATTTTGTATACAACTTCTTCCACTTTTGAGTGTATCCATATCTGTGTGCTCGTTTGCTGACCCGCAGGTCGCGGGTTCAAATCCCGGCTGCGGCGGCTGCCTTTCCGATGGAGGCGCAAATGTTGTAGGCCCGTGTGCTCAGATTTGGGTGCACGTTAAAAAACCCCAGGTGGTCTAAATTTCCGGAGCCCTCCACTGCGGCGTGTCTCATAATCATATGGTGTTTTTGGGATGTTAAACCCCACATATCAATCAATCAATCCATATGTGTATGATTCAGAGCTCTTAAAAACTCGCCTCTACTATAATGGGTAGCAGTCACGGCGTTTAGTCCCGCAATGGCCGGGTTATCGAAAACGGTTGAAGAAGGGGTCGGGAAGGAGAGGGGTGGGGTGAAGAAAAGTTACGTAACGCTGCCACTGTAAAAAAAAAACGCATTTCCCGTGTCTCATGCAAGGGTGATTACTGAAAGAAAATTTGAGTCGGAATTTGAGAAACGTATCGATCCAAGGTCTCCACAGTGACGTGAACGTGGACGCCGTTTCTTCCGTAATAACGAGATTATCTTCATTCCACGGTTATAATTTCACGCGTGGTGACCGAATGTGGGGTGCGGCACGAAACATTCGCACGATATTCTTGATAGAAGCCCGTATATCGGCTTAGCCCAACAAATCTGTATTTAATAATCGCGAGAGGCGAGAAAGTATAACACTAGTAATAATTAGCGAAATCGGAAGACTTTACTCCGTGCTTACGATTTCGCGCTCTCGAGGCCGTTTCGTTTACTGCATATGGGAAACTATTGCTGTTTGGTGAAATACTTTATGACGTACGCAATCGACAGGTGAAGAAGTGTACATTTAAGGGGCTATAGTCTCCTTTGTTGGACAGTATTGATTAGAACTAACGGACAATAATGTCAACGAAAGTATATAGGGGTGTGTTAGAAGTAATTACGTGAATGTGAAGAAAAATGGACGGGGAGATAACAAAGGTCGCAGGTTCGGTGGCTGCCGGTGACAACTTAATCTTTTCGTCCACTTTTTTCTTTCTTGACATGTATATTACAATTACTTGTACTAACCCCCCATATTCTCCGCTTGATACATTCGTCGGTTAGTGCCTCAATACTAAAAATCTCACTTCATTCAATTAGTTAAAATAATTGGCTAAGCGAAGGCATCTTTATGAGTCGACGGCTTCGCTTGATGGACAGTGCCCGCTACGCGCAGCTGGCTTTTTTTTTGTTTTTTTGCCGCCGTTTTTCAAAATTTCGAAAAATAATGCAGTGAGCACGTCTGGCAAAAAATAATGCCGAGGAACCGTTGGCGACTGCCTCTTTTGATTGCGGCAGCGCGATGAGTTTCACCCGGGAGGATTGGGAGGGGTATATAAGGCAGTCGAGAGGGAGGGCATGGCGGTAAAGCGATACAACGTAGATTGCGCAGCTTTAATGTCGCAATCAACTTGCGGCAGCCTGATATCTGTTTGCTTCCTTTCTCTCACTCTGACACATTTACGCACAGGTATCCGTTAAAGGGACACTGAAACAGTGAATCGGTTTAGATTGACAAAGTGTACTTTTTTGAGAACTGTAGGGTCGTTATAATTTCGCCATCGTAAGTTTACGAGGGGAGGAGAGTATGGAGGTCAACTTTACGTTTAATTAAAATTTCGCGCCGAAGTCTCTGATTGTGACGTCATGGATATTTCTGTTGGACTGTTGGTATCCCTATAATTCCGAGAATGCTTTCGCCTCTCCCTGTCCAACGAGGCTATTTGTGTATTTTCGATCCAAATGTATTTTACATCGTGACGTCACGGATTTTAAAAGCTGCTTGCCTTTGTCGTATTTCGGCTATACTTTAAGTGAAATCTCTCGAAACTTGGCACAATAATAAGTCCATGGCCGCTCAGATATAAATTCACTTCATCTTTACTAATTAAGACAGACGCATGCCCCAGTATGGATGGCCATGCCTTCGAAGTCTATCACGTCTGTGCGTTTGGTGCCGGAATTTCAAGGTGGCGACGCCACCAGCGCTAACTAGTTACGCCATTTCTCACTCCAAGCGTATACAGTCATTTTAGAATTAGAAAAAAAAAGTAGTTTATTAATAATTGAATGTCATTTTTCTCTTTAGCGTCCTATTCCAATTCGCGAAGGCGGAAGTAGAGTTTCACTCGCACCACCCTTCCGCAACCTCGTCCACGAGGATATAGTGTCCTGTTGACGTGGTGCTTGCGTAATCAAGAAACTTCCCCATTTATATGATCAATACCATGCATGGAAAATGCTGCCGGCCCGTGTACTCAGATTTGGGCGCACGTTGAAGAAACCCCCAGCTGCATGGTCGAAATTGCCGGAGCCCTCCACTATGGCTCTCTCATAATCATATGGTGTTTTTTTTTTTTTGAGACGCTTAACCCCACATATCAAAGAAGCGTGCTTTGGCGTAGCCAAGAGGGGTGGGGCTCAAACACACTTCGAAGTTTTCAATTTTGCTTCAGTATGTACACACACACACACACACACACACACACACACACACACACACACACACTTACAAAACGCACGCACGAATATATAAAAAGCTCGGTTACCCCCCCCCCCCCCCGCTGCTCTTCACACACGCACGAAAAAAAATTGACTACACTCTTACTAAAGCTCTGGGGAAAGGCTGGCTACATCCAGTACACCAGACGAAAGATGTCCGGTTTTTTGTATATATCTAGCATTTTATGTGGCCCTCCTACCATGCCATCATGTGCTATTTATGCTGAGTGTGTGAAGCTGAGTATACGTCTGGGTACAATGAGAGCGTCTGTATAACCGGCAATTCTGCACGAGTCATCTGTACGTCGTCTGTATTGCGAACGTTCAACTGCGCGCGACCCGTACAGGTTACCATCGTAACGAAATATTTTCAAAGTTGTTTTGACTTCCGAATGGAAGCTTTGATTGACCGTATCGGAAGGAATAAATGTTATCTAAAAGGTTACGCCGTTTGCTCGCAATCCTGGATGGGCTGTTGGCATCCCCAAAATTCCAAAAACCCATTCGCTTTTCCCTGTCCAACGAGACTATTAATTGTGTACTTTCGATCCATGACCGCCTCCTTCTTGTTTTTTAACACGAATGATTACTCATATTTGTGTGTCGTAACGTCACCTTCACGAGGCCATAAAATGTCGAACGTATTCTCACAGCTGTTTCCTTATCGTCGCAGTTCGCAAAGTACAGTGGCGTTTATTGGGAGAATTGATTGATGTGTGGGATTTAACGTCCCAAAGCCGCCATATTATGAGAGACGCCGTAGTGAAGGGCTCTGGAAATTTCGACCACCTGGGGTTCTTTAACGTGCACCCAAATCTGAGCACACGGGCCTACAACATTTCCGCCTCCATCAGAAATGCAGCCGGGATTCGATCCCGCGACCTGCGGGTGAGCAGCTTAGTACCTTAGCCACTAGACCACCGCGGCGGGGCTTTATTGCGAGAAAGAGAAGCACGTCGTTCTCTCAAGACACCATATATATGGGCTCGCCGAAAACGCTTAGAGCGATGATAAGAAGAAATTGTGGATAAGCTAGTACCGCTCGGTCAATAGTGTGTTGTACGTGCTGAAAACGGCTGTATTGGCAGCCCGAAGTGGCGTCTGTTGAGCGCATTCGTGACGTAGCTTGCTTGACATCTTTATACAGATGCGTTAGCAGACTGTTTCGTGGACGTCATCTATATTGGGCGACTAGTGTAGTGGCTACTGCAAGGGCGACCGTTGTTGCTCAGTCTGCTAAAAAAAAAAAAAAAAGCCCTTCTGGCTTCTCCAAGTCTGCTGTAAAACGCCTTCCTGGCTGCTCCAAGCCTGCTCCCAGGACTGCTCCTAAACCCATGTGTACCCTGTTCCGCCACTTACGGACCAAAACGGCTGTGCTAATGCATTCCGCGTTAAACTTCTTAAACTGACGTCATGACGTACAAAACTGAGGATTAATCGGGTTAACATCCCATGAACCGTAAAAAAAAAGATGTATCGTTTGCCAAACGAGCGAGAAACGACAGACGAGAAGGGCGGCGAGCGCGTTTCAAGTGCGCGCGTCGCTTGTGTGCCTACATACTACACTATCGCCTTTTATTTGTCCTTTATCTCCGAGTGTCCATTGTTGTCGCCTCACTCTCCGCGAGCCTTTTGTTCTCGCTGTGTTTGCACTGTCGCGAGGAAGAGAGTGACGGACGAGATAGCAGGGTGGCTCCCTTCTGGATGGGACGCTGTCTGCTCTCGGAGTGAGCGAGCTCGCTTCCCATTGTTTCAACGGCCGTGCAGTACTTATGCCTCCTCGTGCGAAGGGAGGAAAGAAACGGTCGCTTTCAGTTGGACTCAAGGGTCAAAGCCGGCTTGGAGAGGAGGAAAAACAAATGACGCTGTCGTCTGCAACCCTTGCGGGCGTCACGGCTTCAAAGCCAGTGCAAGATGTTGCCCCTAGTTAGCTCACAAATTGTTACAGAAAGAAACATTGAAAAAAAAAATGGGACTTTTTGCTGTTTGTGTATGGAGGAAGTGAGCAGTTTTGTAACTGCGGCGTTGCGCAATGATGCGTAGCAGCCTTACGTGTAGTAAGTAGAGTCATAATGGAAAAAAACTGCCCGATCACCACTTGACTGACCAACGGTAATCATGCGATAATGCCGTGATAAGTTCTTTAGCGTTAGCGCGCGGCCTTCTGAAAGCTCTGCAAAGCAAAACGAATAGAGGTTACATAAATGTGCAATATGTGTGTGCATTCCAGCAGGAAAGACTTGTGGTTCGATAACTGAGCTTCTAGGGGATGAATATCCAGCTGGAATTCCGTAATGTTCCAGCTGGAAATATTAACTCTTCATCTTAGATATATTTTACATCTACTCCTCGCCCATTCTACAAATCTTGTCGTGGCTCGCGATGTGAACACTGCGCATAACGTGTAACAAACACACGTATTTAGTTGTCTCC